CTATAGCAACGATGACTCACTCTTAGTTTAGGAGTTGTCATTTTTCTTTACTAAGAGTAGGTCTGAAAGGCGTTGTGAATAACTTTTAAGAGAAAACTCCTAGCTAAAATATTTTAGTGCGATTTAGGAGTACTCCTAGTGGTAAGATAAAATTCTTTGTGAATACGGCCCCAGATTGGCATTTCTATCGTTGAACCTGTTATGCTTGACCAGTTTGCCCTTTTTAGGGTCACATCTTCGTGTTTTTGGTTCGTTTACATGTCTCTGGTCCATGTTACGTTCATATTTCATTCGAACCGCACCAGAGTTCGTTTGGAAGCCAACTGATACCCATTTTTTCAGCATCTCGGTCCGCTTGTTTGGTGGCACCAGGTTTCAGATGGCAGCGTTCACACTTATTCAAATAAACCGCACTAACAGTCTAAACAAACATCCCAGGTGTGAACACACCCTAATACTTAAAATTCACCATGAACTGACAAGAGTACTGAGTGCAGTTTCCTTGAGTCATCAGTATTTGTTTTCCCTGTATTCCCTAAAGAGAACAAAATGGTTAATTTGAGATGCCGTTATCTGAGAGCTGAGAGGATGTTGCAGTACACTATCATATAGATCAGTGGTTCTCAGACCCTCTCTGCAGATTCTGTATGTCTCCTTCACCTGACACACTCGGTTGAGTTCATAGAGTTGTGTTCTGATGATGATCAGGTGGATTAAAACACGAGACATACAGCATATGCAGAAACGTGGGTTCCCAGGACTGGGGTTCAGAACCACTTCTAGAAAATAACTGTACATTTCTAATATATATTCTAAGATTACAAGTATTGAGTGATAATTGTATGTCTTTATAGCATGGATGCATCTAAAGAAGACGGGTTCTCTTTGGGAAGACTTGTTAACGGTCAGACCAGAAATCCTACTTGCAAAATGAGAACCGTTGAAGTGAGCAGAAAACCTCACCTGTGTCTCTTTGCTGTACGAGACATTCTACCAGGAGAAGAAATCACTTACAATTATGGAGACTCAGATTGGCCATGGCGAGTCAAGGTACTATCAAGAAAATGCTAAAGAGATTGATCAGTAATTCATTCATGATAATCTTTTACTGTCATTCTGATTATTTACCATGTGATTGTGGTCTCATATTTCTGAAGCCTTTAAATCAAGCATCAGCAGAATCTACTGATAAAAAGCCAGCCAGCAGTTTGGGCCCGCAGAAATCGGTAAGTCCACTTTAAAACATCTGTATCATTATATTATTGACTATTTCAGCATAGAGATGTGTGTGAAAGAAATGATAGATAAAGTGTAGGATAGCTAGAGGAATTATCGTGAACACGTTTTTCTGTCCTTCACAAATATTTCTGATTTTGTTATTCCCTGGTTTCTTTTCTGACATCCAGCCCCATTGTGCAGCTTCTGTTCCCTCTCCTGGATTGGACAAGGTGAACAGCAACGGTCCACATAAGCACTCAGGCAAAGCAAGAACATCAATGAATAAAACGGTAACCATCTCATACATGCAGAGCTATCTACTGATGTTTACTGCCAGCTAGTTAAAGGTGCAGTAGGTGATTCCTCAGAAACACTGTTGATATTTGAAATCGACACCTAAACAAACACACGCCTCCCTTCATTGCTCCGCCCACAGTATAATGAACACGCAACACAGGCAACCACTAACAGCTGGTGCTCAGGTGTTCAACTAGAAAAGATTTTTATTGCTGGCAAACCATAGGATGCATTTGAAGGTTTGGTTTTAGTTGATTGTACGTGCATATCCACTTCATCCAGCACATGTGTGTAAACGCTTCAAATGATACAAAATAAAAAACAATTGTCATTAGAAATGCAATTAAAATGTACCCACAATTGACCCTTCGCTAAGCCTTGCCCGAAAACCGCCACTGGCCAATCGTGGCTTAGCAACCGTAACTAGGCACGGGAGGTCTGTCAAGCTTTCGAGCGAGGGAAACATGCCGACGCGTTGTGCGTATGGATTGTGCAAATCTGATACCCGGTATTATAAAAGTTTGGACGGTGGGGTGGCATTTTTTCTCTTCCCGAAACCTAAAAGCCAAAGGGGAGAAATCCCGGGCGTGGATCAAGCAGTGTGGAGACCCATTCACAACTAAATGACGACAGGATTAACAAAAAAAAAAAAACGCCTATTGCTTGGAAATAATGGCGGTTCTTTGTTCATAATGCATATATTTGAAAGTAAAATAAGACGATTAAAGGCAAGACGGAGGCTCACTGACATACTTTAAAATATATTTCAGCATTTTGTTAATCGACGGCCTACTAACGTTACCCCTGTAACTTTACCCCAATCCGATCGCGGCTCTCCCGGTGTTAGATTGATGGATAAGCAGTTTGATTTGTAATTATTAGATTATTTTCACATTGCACTTACTCTGCTGTGCATGAACATAGCTGTTCCGCCATTTGTGTGTTTCCCATGTGAATGGTCTGCTAAGGAGGCGACTGCTGCTTGCGCTGGGACCTAACATTATAGGCTTTAGCTTCAATTTTGATGAAATTATTCTCTAATCTGTTGCATATTATGTCGCGGATATATCCCTCGAATGCATACTGCTGTCCCTTTTGTCTTGCTCTCTCAGATATTTCACCTGTTCTCCAAAAATGACTAATTATCTCCTTGGGAATGTCTGACACCGGTGCATTCACACTGTAATAGACGTGGCAGCCGCGAAAGCTTGACAGGCGTAGCAACAGTAACTAAGGAGAGCGGGGCTTAGCGAAGGGTCAATTAAACCTACTCTAAAACAAACAAACTAACATAAATACTTAAATGGTATGGAGTAAATGTAGCACGTTACTACCCACCTCTGCTTGTAAAAGGATTAGTTCACTTCAGAAATAGTATTTCCTGATAATTTACTCTCCCCATGTCATCCAAGATGTTCATACATTTCTTTCTTCGGTCGAAAAGAAATTAAGGCTTTGAGGAAAACATTCCAGGATTTTTCTCATTATAATGACTTCAATAGGGTCCAACGGGTTAAGGTCCAAATGTCAGTTTCAGTATTCTAAAAAAAATTTTTTATATACTTTTTAACCACAAATGCTGGTCTTGCACTAGCTGTGATGATCCACACATTATGTAATCAGGTTGAAAGGTCACGCGTGTTCCGGTTCAGAAATGTAGGGTGAAAAACTCATTTACTCCTCCAACTTCAAAATCGTCCGACATCGTTGTTTTACCTTTTATTTACGTTGTCCTTGCACGTTCAACTTGTAAACTGGTTTTACTTCTGAAGTGAAACTAGTTATAGTTTATACGAGTTTTAATGTCTGAACCAATGTAACTATTATTGTGACTATTGTCACAATTTGTACGTAAAGTTTGTATAAATGTTTGGTTAGGGTGTCAAATGTTGATATAAAATAATTTTTATTAATGATCTTTACTTTGAAATGTACAAAACATGTTTGTTTATTTTTTGTTCACCCCTAGAGTGTGTTTGTGTTTGTTCTTGTCTTATTTTCTTTGGGTGCCACAGTTTTCAATATTGTCAATGTACATTTTATTCTTGTTTAAGCTAAATACCTCTTTATATATCTGCAGAAGCGGTTTCAATCAAGATTGGCAAAATTAAGACAACATCATGAAGATTGCTATGAACGTTTTAACAGAGCAGAAATTGAAAAGGAACACATGATTGCCAAACAGCAATCACAAAAAGTTTGTTTGGTGAGTAATTTGTGAACATCATCACACTATTCTGTGATCAACGCCCATTAACAGTTAATTATTTTATTATTAATTCATTTGATCAATTAACAGTTTGCTTGGTCCTTTTGCTTTTAATTTAGACCTAATATTTTTATTCAAATTATATTTCAAGCTGTCCTCATCATCCTCATCCTCGCCTGTGCAGCCTTCATCATGCTCATCCTCGCCTGTGCAGCCTTCATCATCCTCATCCTCGCCTGTGCAGCCTTCATCATCCTCATCCTCGCCTGTGCAGCCTTCATCATCCTCATCCTCACCTGTGCAGCCTTCATCATCCTCTTCCTCGCCTGTGTAGCCTTCATCATCCTCATCCTCGCCTGTGCAGCCTTCATCATCCTCATCCTCGCCCTCGCAGCCTTCATCATCCTCATCCTCGCCTGTGCAGCCTTCATCATCCTCATCCTCACCTGTGCAGCCTTCATCATCCTCATCCTCGCAGCCTTCATCATCCTCATCCTCACCTGTGTAGCCTTCATCATCCTCATCCTCGCCTGTGCAGCCTTCATCATCCTCATCCTCGCCTGTGCAGCCTTCATCATCCTCATCCTCGCCTGTGCAGCCTTCATCATCCTCATCCTCACCTGTGCAGCCTTCATCATCCTCTTCCTCGCCTGTGTAGCCTTCATCATCCTCATCCTCGCCTGTGCAGCCTTCATCATCCTCATCCTCGCCCTCGCAGCCTTCATCATCCTCATCCTCGCCTGTGCAGCCTTCATCATCCTCATCCTCACCTGTGCAGCCTTCATCATCCTCATCCTCACCTGTGTAGCCTTCATCATCCTCATCCTCGCCTGTGCAGCCTTCATCATCCTCATCCTCACCTGTGCAGCCTTAATCATCCTCATCCTCGCCTGTGCAGCCTTAATCATCCTCATCCTCGCCTGTGCAGCCTTCATCATCCTCATCCTCACCTGTGCAGCCTTAATCATCCTCATCCTCGCCTGTGCAGCCTTAATCATCCTCATCCTCACCTGTGCAGCCTTAATCATCCTCATCCTCGCCTGTGCAGCCTTAATCATCCTCATCCTCGCCTGTGCAGCCTTAATCATCCTCATCCTCGCCTGTGCAGCCTTCATCATCCTCATCCTCACCTGTGCAGCCTTAATCATCCTCATCCTCGCCTGTGCAGCCTTCATCATCCTCATCCTCACCTGTGCAGCCTTAATCATCCTCATCCTCGCCCTCGCAGCCTTCATCATCCTCACCTGTGCAGCCTTAATCATCCTCATCCTCGCAGCCTTCATCGCCTACACCTTCTCCTGCTCCACCCTTATCTTCGCCCTGTGCTGCATCCACACCTGTGGTTCACTCATCACAGGTGTCTGAGACACACTCATTAAGGGAGGTGGGTAGAATCATTGGCTGAATTATTGGGATGGTCGGAGTATATTGCACTGGTAGAACTAGCGATAGATTTAATGAAATTATATATTATTAATATTTGTTTGTATTTCTCCTCTTCCAGATACCCTCTTTAAGGCCATCAAGAAAAAGATAGGTATGTGACTTGCCATGTAATACTTTATATGCTAATTTTTTTTTGTTGCATAATTAGGACTTTGCTTGCCAGTATCCACAATACGATGAAATTTAATGTTACAGGAACCACTGCCATGTACACTATGCCCACATACTCCCTGTTTTGTTAGATTCTGGCAGTGGTGTACTCGTGTGATCACTAAAAAATATAATAGAAAAAAATATTTTGTACTATTTGAGTAAGTGTTAAATTCTCTCATTCAGTATTCAGGAAGTGCTGTATGTGACACAGACTACAGCGATGTTGACTACATACCAAAAATCAGCTCAGAGGAATCTGATACATCCAACATCTCCCAAAGAGGCAGGTGATTCATCGGATCAATTTATAACATCACCAAAAAAGATTAAATGCCAAACTAAAGAGACAAGCACCTTTTCTGGTGACAAGACTTTTATTCAGTCAATGCCATCACCAAAGCAGGAACGGAAGGCGTACAACAAGAAGCGGTGTTGCCTTTATTGCTCTAAGCCATATTAAAAAAATGACAAGACACCTTGAATTTGTCCATCGCATCGAAGTGGGGGTTATAAAGGCAGTAGCATTTCCAAAACATTTCAGTTAAACCTCCTTAGAAAAAGGGGCAACTTTGCCCACAACACAGATGTGGTGAGACAAGGACATGGGGAGATGATTGCCTGCTACCGTCCAAAAAATAGATAAAGAGCCAAAGAATGTATTCACTGCATTTACTGCCAAGGGCTTTATAACAAGCGTAGCCTTTGGAAACATATCAAAAACTGTCCCCTGAAACCTAAAGAGGATGATGCCCTGGGCCGGAAAAGAGTTCGATCTCTGTGTGCTTTAAACACACCAGTCGGCTTAGAAGTGAGCAAAGGTTTCAAGAAAATACTGTCCTTTATGAACTATGAAGTTTCGCGTGTAGTTCATTCTGACAGATCCATCATGCAGCTGGGGGAGCACATGTTCAACAGGATGGGGTCTGATGTGACCAAACAGAGTTATCTGGCTACGATGAAGAGAAAAACTCCTACCACATTCCTTCTTTAGCTCTCAAACTTGGGCATTCTTTAATCAAGATCTGTAGCATTGTTGAGAGCAATGCCATGATGTATGGAGATCATGATCGTGCTGAGTGTGCCCGAGACTTCAGGAGAATACACCAGGCAAGGTGGAATGAGTACATTTCTGCTGGTGCTATAACTACATCGAAAGAAGCCAAGTGGAACACACCACAGATCATTCCTTTCACTCAGGATGTCAAAGTCCTGCACACACATCTTGAAAAGAAACACGATGGGCTCCTAAGTAAGCTCAGAACTTGCCCTTCTGCTGACAGCTACTCTGCTCTAGCCAAGGTCACACTGTCCCAGGTCATCCTGTTCAACCGAAGGAGAGAAGGTGAGGTATCCCGTGTGCTTTTGTCAGCTTTTAAAAGCAGGGATTCTTCTGAGCTACATGAAGATATTGCCATCTGTCTGTCTGAGTTTGAGAGGAAGCTGTGTCTGCACTTCACAAGAGTTGAGATCCGGGGTAAACGAGGCAGAAAGGTTCCTGTGCTCCTCAAGCCTTCCATGGTTTCTGCCATGGAGCTGCTCGTTGAAACGCGGGAGCTTTGTGGTGTTCCAGCAGAGAATCCCTTTATGTTTGCCAGATGTGGAGCAATGTCAGCCTACAGAGGTGGAGAGTGCATCAACAAAGCTGCTTGCGAATGTGGCATAAAGAACCCTGAAGCACTGTCATCAACTAGGCTCAGGAAACACATAGCAACCATGTCTAAAATTCTTAACCTTGATGAGAATGAAGCAGACCAACTGGCTGATTTCCTTGGTCACGATATCAGAATCCACAGACAGTATTACCGGTTACCAGAGGGAACACTGCAGCTGGCAAAAATGAGTAAAGTCCTAATGGCCATGGAGAAAGGAACACTGTCTGACTACAAAGGAAAGAAACTTGATGACATTGAAATCGACCCAAATGGTATGAGTATTTTTTGACTGTCTGTGTATCTTTGCTGTACATATTTGAAAAACAATGTATGTGATCATGTCACAGATGCTAAGTATAAGCAATAAAGTGTTATTTTTTTTGTCAATGAATTAGTTGAGGCCCAAGGTGATTCCATGTCAAGTGATGAGGAGGACTACAGTGACCTATCTCAGACAACAGCACCAGCAGAGACTGATCAACCTGTTCAATCTGATCAATCTGTTTCACAGGAGGATCAAGGTAAGAAATATATCTAAACTACACAAACAACAATAATCAAATAAACATGAATTAGCTCCATGCAGCAATATCCAGCCAAATTCAAATAATCAACACATTTGGACACAATCTTGATTTGGTCTTTACTCACTGATTTAGTTGTAATGAGAATGTGTAATGAGACTTTAAAGTTACTGTAATATAACTAACTATTTCGTAGGTTCTTCAAATGCTCCAAAAAAGAAATGGGAGGACAGTGAGGTAAAAGCAGTAGAGAGACACATGATGAAGTTCATCAAGACATGCAAAGTTCCTGGTAAGCAAGACTGTGAAAGATGCATTCACGCAGAGCCAGAAGCTTTGAAGCAGCGAACATGGACTGGTGTGAAAAATTATGTGCGGAACAGGATCACGACTCTTAAAAGAAAGGGTGGTTTGTAGAGAGCCATAAACACTTCAACACTTTGCATATTATGCTCTTTTTGTAAGAAATGGAGCTAAATTAAAGAAATGAGGATAAAGGTGTAGAAATATTTTGAGGATGGAATGAAACAGAATATAAAGTGAAAAGTTAGAGTATAAGAAAGCTAATGAAGAAGGAGAGGATAGTAAGATAATCAATTTTCATTATTCAGTTTTCTTTGTTCAGTTGCAAAGAAGTTGGATGGAATGCCATGTTAAACTTTTTGATATTTCTGTTATAGAGGGAGGAGAGAATGTAAAGACGATAAAGTGAAGAGTGATTAGCTGTGTTGGACATGGGCTGTGGCTGGATGTAACCGATCGGTGAGAGTTGCCGTGTGGAGGCGGGAGGAGCTGAAAACTGAGACGTGAGTTTGACACTTTCTGCTTCCCGTAGTGACGCTTGCGCTGTGTTTGCATACTTTACCACAGCTGAAGTGGAATAAATGCATTATTTGCCAAATACACAGATATTTTTTAGAGACATTTTGATTCAATACATGTACTGCTTAATACAGCGTCTGTTTGTACAAGAATAAAGTTCAACATAAGCCTAAATACCAATGAAGTTGTATCTGGCTACGATGAAGAGAAAAACTCCTACCACATTCCTTCTTTAGCTCTCAAACTTGGGCATTCTTTAATCAAGATCTGTAGCATTGTTGAGAGCAATGCCATGATGTATGGAGATCATGATCGTGCTGTGTGTGCCCGAGACTTCAGGAGAATACACCAGGCAAGGTGGAATGAGTACATTTCTGCTGGTGCTATAACTACATCGAAAGAAGCCATGTGGAACACACCACAGATCATTCCTTTCACTCAGGATGTCAAAGTCCTGCACACACATCTTGAAAAGAAACACGATGGGCTCCTAAGTAAGCTCAGAACTTGCCCTTCTGCTGACAGCTACTCTGCTCTAGTCCCAGGTCATCCCGAGGCTACATTGTATCAGTTTTATTTTGATAAACATGACAATATAACATTGCGACTACATGAAAAGAGCTTTCACTGTTATAAAAAACAGATTTGTGAGCATTAGTGGAACTGAAGCTGTGAGAATAAACACATGATCGTTGTCATGCGGAGAATCCAGCCAATCGTGGATCAGTTGTGTTGTCATCAGAGCTTGTGAGTCGCTCTGGAGAAACTGCTCTGGCTGAGTCTTCCTGCTCTCCAATCGCTCTCAGCGGACTCTGATGTCATACGGCAGTCACACGGCTTCGCTGTCTGAAGTCGGACACGAGTTCTAACCATCATGCACTGCTTCAAGTCAGCCGCCGATCAGTCTGTGCAACGCTGCATGAAGTCCAACAAGCCTTTTCTCTCCTCTCCTCCCTCTTTACATTCTCTCCCTCTTTCCATCCCCTTTACATTCACTTCCTCTTTCCATCCCCTTTACATTCACTTCCTCTTTCCATCCCCTTTACATTCACTTCCTCTTTCCATCCCTCTTTACATTCTCTCCCTCTTTCCATCCCCTTTACATTCACTCCCTCTTTCCATCCCTCTTTACATTCTCTCCCTCTTTCCATCCCCTTTACATTCACTTCCTCTTTCCATCCCCTTTACATTCACTCCCTCTTTCCATCCCTCTTTACATTCTCTCCCTCTTTCCATCCTCTTTACATTCTCTCCCTCTTTCCATACCCTTTACATTCACTTCCTCTTTCCATCCCTCTTTACATTCACTCCCTCTTTACATTCACTCCCTCTTTCCATCCCTCTTTACATTCACTCCCTCTTTCCATCCCTTGAATGTAAAGGGTATGGAAAGAGGGAGTGAATGTAAAGAGGGATGGAAAGAGGGAGTGAATGTAAAGGGGATGGAAAGAGGGAGTGAATGTAAAGGGGATGGAAAGAGGGAGTGAATGTAAAGAGGGATGGAAAGAGGGAGTGAATGTAAAGGGGATGGAAAGAGGGAGTGAATGTAAAGGGGATGGAAAGAGGGAGAGAATGTAAAGAGGGAGGAGAGGAGAGAAAAGGCTTGTTGGACTTCATGCAGCGTTGCACAGACTGATCGGCGGCTGACTTGAAGCAGTGCATGATGGTTAGAACTCGTGTCCGACTTCAGACAGCGAAGCCGTGTGACTGCCGTATGACATCAGAGTCCGCTGAGAGCGATTGGAGAGCAGGAAGACTCAGCCAGAGCAGTTTCTCCAGAGCGACTCACAAGCTCTGATGACAACACAACTGATCCACGATTGGCTGGATTCTCCGCATGACAACGATCATGTGTTTATTCTCACAGCTTCAGTTCCACTAATGCTCACAAATCTGTTTTTTATAACAGTGAAAGCTCTTTTCATGTAGTCGCAATGTTATATTGTCATGTTTATCAAAATAAAACTGATACAATGTAGCCTCGGGATGACCTGGGACTAGAGCAGAGTAGCTGTCAGCAGAAGGGCAAGTTCTGAGCTTACTTAGGAGCCCATCGTGTTTCTTTTCAAGATGTGTGTGCAGGACTTTGACATCCTGAGTGAAAGGAATGATCTGTGGTGTGTTCCACTTGGCTTCTTTCGATGTAGTTATAGCACCAGCAGAAATGTACTCATTCCACCTTGCCTGGTGTATTCTCCTGAAGTCTCGGGCACACTCAGCACGATCATGATCTCCATACATCATGGCATTGCTCTCAACAATGCTACAGATCTTGATTAAAGAATGCCCAAGTTTGAGAGCTAAAGAAGGAATGTGGTAGGAGTTTTTCTCTTCATCGTAGCCAGATAACTCTGTTTGGTCACATCAGACCCCATCCTGTTGAACATGTGCTCCCCCAGCTGCATGATGGATCTGTCAGAATGAACTACACGCGAAACTTCATAGTTCATAAAGGACAGTATTTTCTTGAAACCTTTGCTCACTTCTAAGCCGACTGGTGTGTTTAAAGCACACAGAGATCGAACTCTTTTCCGGCCCAGGGCATCATCCTCTTTAGGTTTCAGGGGACAGTTTTTGATATGTTTCCAAAGGCTACGCTTGTTATAAAGCCCTTGGCAGTAAATGCAGTGAATACATTCTTTGGCTCTTTGTCTATTTTTTGGACGGTAGCAGGCAATCATCTCCCCATGTCCTTGTCTCACCACATCTGTGTTGTGGGCAAAGTTGCCCCTTTTTCTAAGGAGGTTTAAAGAACTTTGGAAAGAGGCTTTTCCAAAGAACTTTATTCTTGTTCAAACAGATGCTGTATTAAGCGGTTCATGTAGTGCATGAAAACGTCCCTGAAATATCTGTGTATTTGGCAAATAATGCATTTATTCCACTTCAGCTGTGCTAAAGTATGCAAACACATCGTGAGCGTCACTACGGGAAGCAGAAAGTGTCAGACTCACGTCTCAGTTTTCAGCTTCTCCCGGCTGCACACGGCAATGTCCAACACAGCTGATGTAAACGATGAAAAGAGGGAGTGAATGGAAAGAGGATGAAAAGGATGAGTAAATGTAAAGGAGATAGTAGAGAGATTTTGAAGAAGGGTGGATGGAGGAAGCACAGAGGATAGTTGGACACTGAGAATCATTCCCACCTCCAAGTTATTAGATTTGTCATTGTTCTTTTTTATTTTTTTATTTTATATCTTTTTGAATTTCTGTCATTAACTGCAATGTGTACTTTCAACACAATGTTTAATACTGTTAATATTAAAGAGTCATTAAATCGGAGTGTGTATCACTAGAGTCCCCAAAGAGTCATTTAATCGGAGTGTGTGTCATTAGAGTCCCCAAAGAGTCATTTAATCGGAGTGTGTGTGTCATTAGAGTCCCCAAAGAGTCATTTAATCGGAGTGTGTGTGTCATTAAAGTCCCCAAAGAGTCATTAAATCGGAGTGTGTATCACTAGAGTCCCCAAAGAGTCATTAAATCGGAGTGTGTGTGTGTCACTAGAGTCCCCAAAGAGTCATTTAATCGGAGTGTGTGTGTCATTAGAGTCCTCAAAGAGTCATTTAATCGGAGTGTGTGTGTCATTAGAGTCCTCAAAGAGTCATTTAATCGGAGTGTGTATCACTAGAGTCCCCAAAGAGTCATTAAATCGGAGTGTGTATCACTAGAGTCCCCAAAGAGTCATTAAATCGGAGTGTGTGTGTGTCACTAGAGTCCTCAAAGAGTCATTTAATCGGAGTGTGTATCACTAGAGTCCCCAAAGAGTCATTAAATCGGAGTGTGTATCACTAGAGTCCCCAAAGAGTCATTAAATCGGAGTGTGTGTGTGTCACTAGAGTCCTCAAAGAGTCATTTAATCGGAGTGTGTGTGTCATTAGAGTCCTTAAAGAGCCATTTAATCTGAGTGTGTGTGTCATTAGAGTCCTTAAAGAGCCATTTAATCTGAGTGTGTGTGTCACTAGAGTCCTTAAAGAGCCATTTAATCTGAGTGTGTGTGTCACTAGAGTCCCCAAAGAGTCATTTAATCGGAGTGTGTGTGTCATTAGAGTCCCCAAAGAGTCATTTAATCGGAGTGTGTGTGTCATTAGAGTCCCCAAAGAGTCATTTAATCGGAGTGTGTGTGTCATTAGAGTCCCCAAAGAGTCATTTAATCGGAGTGTGTGTGTCATTAGAGTCCCCAAAGAGTCATTTAATCGGAGTGTGTGTGTCATTAGAGTCCCCAAAGAGTCATTTAATCAGAGTGTGTGTGTCATTAGAGTCCCCAAAGAGTCATTTAATCAGAGTGTGTGTGTCATTAGAGTCCTTAAAGAGCCATTTAATCTGAGTGTGTATCACTATTTTTATTTGTATAAAGTTTTTCTTTGACAGTTACTACACTTTACAGAAGAAATGCCTAATGTCATAAAGCCCCAGTGAGTAGCCAAAGATGACTCTGGTGAGGAAAACCCCTTAAGATGTTTTTGTGATGATGATTAGTTTGCAGTCGATGCTAAATTAACTAGAGGGATGCTGGCCGTGGCCAGTGAAGTGTTCTCTGCCATGAAGTGAAGTCAGTTTTATTTCTATAGCGCATTATACAATACAGATCGTTTTAAAGCAGCTTCACATACATAAAATAACTTGCAAATTTCAACAATTATGTTCATCTTTTGTTCTCTGATAGTCAATACAGTCAAATCAATAATATTTCTGAATGTTAATTGTCATTCCCCGACTGAGACAAAGGCACTTGATCTCAAGCTACAAATCAGACAAAAATGTAGACTACCCATTTACAGTGATCATGAAGAAATGAAAAACCCAGTTTACTCTCTCACACCTGTATCTCTGCACTAGCTTGATTTCAGTGTCCAGTATTGGAACTTTGAATTGTAATATTCTACTTCTGTCTTCTTAGGATAAATAATATAACATCTCAACAAAGTCCTGAAAGTATACATTAACCAGAGTTTGTGTATCACCATGGTCCTCAAAGTATGACTTAACCAGAGTTTGTGTATCACCATGGTCCTCAAAGTATGACTTAACCAGAGTTTGTGTATCACCATGGTCCTCAAAGTATGACTTAACCAGAGTTTGTGTATCACCATGGTCCTCAAAGTATGACTTGACCAGAGTTTGTGTTTAATGTCCCCAAAATGGACATAAAAAATACTGTCCCTAAAGTGAAGGCAAAATGTCAGGTCTTTAAGGAAGGCTTTTATTGATAAAATCAAGTGATAAGTGTGATGACAGCTTCTCCAGAAGTGCAGTCATGTCTTTCTTTTGTCTCTAGACCCTTCAGAAAGGGGTGTCCCTAAAGGTAGGGTTCCCAGTCATACGTCCTCACATTGTGGTTAAGTAGGTATGTGTGTGTGTGTGTGTGTGTGTGTGTGTGTGTGTGTGTGTGTGTTATAAATTGTATTTTTGAATAAATTAATAGATTAGACAAAAAATGAGCCCCATTGACCCATGACATAGCCACATCTATTTAGTTATATTAAATACTGTTTGGACTTAATTGCAACCAGTTTATGCTGTTAGCAAGATTTCAGATCTATTGCAAAACTAATTTGCATGTACTGTCCAGAACTGTAGCCTTCACTAACCACACATAGGTTATTTAAAGGGACTATCTGTTTCACCAACAGTTCCAAAACACTGGTCCCACTTAGTCAATGTTATTTTATCCTAATAGCTTTAAGAGCATCATTTGCATTTAATACAGCTGCGACTGACAGTGACATCTTCAGTGTTAGAGTTACAATCTCCAAAGCAAACTTTGCCACGGTGCTTGCAGGGTTGGAATGGCCCATACCGCTCAGTAATCGCTAGCCATGCGGTTAATGACTCATACAAGCTGCTGATTCAAGGT